CGCTCAAGAAAAAATGCATCGCCACTGACAATTTCCATCGTGTACCCTTTCGACTCGGAACGAACGCAAACGACCGACCGATCGATGCGAGTGCTCAGCGATAACAACAATCATAATACACCATTGGAACCTCATTTGCCAGTAAAAATATGATAATTGTTTTTTACCCTTCTATCTGGCAACAAAACTGACACCTTTTTACAAGGAGTCATGTTTGCATAGACCACAATACCTGCTACATTCCTGGGGTGGAGCCGGCCACGCCGGAGTGGTTATAAGCGTGGGGTGGACGTAGAGCCGGGCTGTTCTGCTGGGTCAAGTCTGGGATGAAGCCACCATCTACGATCCTCAGTCTCGGGTCCAGGAATGTAGCAGTATCCCCGTGTGTAAGCCAAGTTAGTAACGGTGGTTACCACCACCCTATGTCGTTATCCTGTCAATGTTAAGAGTTACCCGCTAATAGATAGTGTTGCCTCAAAAGTTCCAGTGTGCGCCCTGAATCCAACCCACTACACTTGTAAAGAGATTGCAACTACTGTACTGTAGAGGCGATGGCGTGGATTCGGGATTGTCCGGAGTGACGTGTATGGACTTGGAAGATAGATTTCCAAGAATGACAATATCGGCACCTCCACCGCCACCACCACCACAACCACCCCCAACAATCACCGCCAACTCCACTACCACCAGCAATCACGGGAACCACCATCGGCACCTCCATCGCCGCCACCAACACACCACGACCACCATCCGCTTCGGCGGCGCCGCCACCACCACCACCACCACCGCCACGACCATCACCGACCCCAGCACCTACCACACTGCCGACACCCAACACCAAACCCTTACCTTTCCTTGCAGGCAACTCATCATCCGAATTTTGCAAACTTCCTCCATCCATCTCAATCTCCTCCACCTCCACCGCCGCGTCCACCTCGTCCCCTTCCTCTCCACCCTGGCTGGTGTTCTCTTCGGCCCGTGGCGGCTTCACCTTCGTGGTGCGCCGGGAGGGGCCTGAAAACCAGGAGCACGGGGGGAGGGGGGGGGGGGCAGCCGAAACGGGAACCGTCGATCAATCGCGTGCCGATAAATTCGGCGTCGACAAAGTGGGCATCGGCGCGCCGGATCACGGCGGAACGGGCGACGGCCTTGGAGGCGGTAGGGGGTGCGACACACGGAGCACATGGGAATGAGAAGATGGCGAGGTGTTGGCTACCTCGCCTGGTATACAAGAGGTCGTGGAATCGATCCCGACCCTGACGCCTGCTGCTGTATATTTGGAGTCTGCGTGTCTCTCTCTCTCTCTCTCATCATCATCATCATCATCACGGTGGCTAGGAGATGTTAACTACCTCGCCTGGTGTACAGGAGGTCGTGGGTTCGATCCCGACCCTGACGCCTGCTGCTGCTGCTGCTATATATTTGGAGTCTGCGTGTCTTTCTCTCTCATCATCATCATCACGGTGGCTAGGAGATGTTAACTACCTTGCCTGGTGTACAGGAGGTCGTGGGTTCGATACCGACCCTGACGCCTGCTGCTGTATATTTGGAGTCTGCGTGTCTCTCTCTCTCTCTCATCATCATCACGGTGGCTAGGAGATGTTAACTACCTTGCCTGGTGTACAGGAGGTCGTGGGTTCGATCCCGACCCATCCACATTGAGAATCAACGTCACGCGCTCACAGTATTTGGCTGCTGCTATACATTTTCACGTGATAAGCCACTTCGGTGAGCTACACTATAATACACACTACACTATACATAATACTATATATGACACACTACACTGCAATACACACGACATTACAATACACACTACACCACTATACTAAACGGAAAACTAATTTACTTCCAACCCCCTCACAGAGACCCATAGACTCATCACACAGAGACCCATAGACTCATCACACAGAGACCCATAGACTCACCACACAGAGACCCATAGACTCACAACACAGAGACCCATAGACTCACAACACAGAGACCCATAGAATCACCACACAAAGACCCATAGACTCATCACACAGAGACCCACAGACTCACCACACAGAGACCCATAGACTCACCACACAGAGACCCACAGACTCGCCGCACAGAGACCTACAGACTCACCACACGGAGACCCATAGACTCACCACACAGAGACCCACAGACTCACCACACAGAGACCCACAGACTCACCACACAGAGACCCATAGACTCACCACACAGAGACCCATAGACTCACCACACAGAGACCCATAGACTCACCACACAGAGACCCATAGACTCACCACACAGAGACCCACAGACTCACCACACAGAGACCCACAGACTCACCACACAGAGACCCATAGACTCACCACACAGAGACCCATAGACTCACCACACAGAGACCCATAGACTCACCACACAGAGACCCATAGACTCACCACACAGAGACCTACAGACTCACCACACGGAGACCCATAGACTCACCACACAGAGACCCATAGACTCACCACACAGAGACCCATAGACTCACCACACAGAGACCCATAGACTCACCACACAGAGACCCATAGACTCACCACACAGAGACCCACAGACTCACCACACAGAGACCCACAGACTCACCACACAGAGACCCATAGACTCACCACACAGAGACCCACAGACTCACCACACAGAGACCCACAGACTCACCACACAGAGACCCATAGACTCACCACACAGAGACCCATAGACTCACCACACAGAGACCCATAGACTCACCACACAGAGACCCATAGACTCACCACACAGAGACCCACAGACTCACCACACAGAGACCCACAGACTCACCACACAGAGACCCACAGACTCACCACACAGAGACCCATAGACTCACCACACAGAGACCCATAGACTCACCACACAGAGACCCATAGACTCACCACACAGAGACCCATAGACTCACCACACAGAGACCTACAGACTCACCACACGGAGACCCATAGACTCACCACACAGAGACCCATAGACTCACCACACAGAGACCCATAGACTCACCACACAGAGACCCACAGACTCACCACACAGAGACCCACAGACTCATCACACAGAGACCCATAGACTCACCACACAGAGACCCATAGACTCACCACACAGAGACCCACAGACTCACCACACAGAGACCCATAGACTCACCACACAGAGACCTACAGACTCACCACACAGAGACCCATAGACTCACCACACAGAGACCCACAGACTCACCACACAGAGACCCATAGACTCACCATACAGAGACCCATAGACTCACCACACGGAGACCCATAGACTCACCACACAGAGACCCATAGACTCACCACACAGAGACCTACAGACTCACCACACAGAGACCCATAGACTCACCACACAGAGACCCACAGACTCACCACACGGAGACCCATAGATTCTTGTTCTTCCCCGGTGAACAATGAAGTGGTGGTGAGCGTGGAGATCAAGTGGAGTGCTACAGTGACTCTGCAATGCCTGTGGTATCTGTAGCTCGCTCTGTCAAACATTAAACCACGGAGTGCATTATGGGAGGCGGGGGGGTGTGTGTGCAAAGTAATCACATTGGAGATGGCTGGGTGGCTCAAAGGTCAAAAAGCACCCGAGCTGGCCACTGCAGAGAGGATAGGTTCAAGTCCAGGTGTCAAGTCTCAAGCCCAAAGTGCAGCGGATTGGTGATGTCAGCACCCGTCATCACGAAGACGCACAGACTTACATAGAGGCTCACATAGAGACCCACACAGACTCACACAGAGACCCACACAGACTCACACAGAGACCCACAGAGACCCACACAAACTTACACAGAGACCCACACAGAGACACATACACAGACTTACATAGAGACCCACACAGACTTACATAGAGACCCACACAGACTTACATAGAGACCCACACAGACCCACACAGACTTACACAGAGACCCACACAGACTCACACAGAGACCCACACAGACTTACATAGAGACCCACACAGACTTACATAGAGACCCACACAGACCCACACAGACTTACACAGAGACCCACACAGACTCACACAGAGACCCACACAGACTTACACAGAGACCCACACAGACTTACATAGAGACCCACACAGACTTACACAGAGACCCACACAGACTTACATAGAGACCCACACAGACTCACACAGAGACCCACACAGACTCACACAGAGACCCACACACAGACTTACATAGAGACCCACACAGACTTACATAGAGACCCACACAGACTCACAGAGACCCACAGAGACTTACACAGAGACCCACACAGACTCACACAGAGACCCACACAAACTTACACAGACTTACATAGAGACCCACACAGACTCACAGAGACCCACAGAGACTTACACAGAGACTTACACAGAGACCCACACAGACTTACACAGACTTACATAGAGACCCACACAGACTCACAGAGACCCACAGAGACTTACACAGAGACCCACACAGACTTACACAGAGACCCACACAGACTTACACAGACTTACACAGAG